TCGTCGTCGTCGTCGTCGTCGCAGAAATCGCCGTCGTAGTCGCCGTACAAACAGTAGCACTAGCAGTCGCAGTAGCAGTAGCAGTGGTAGCAGTGGCACCAGCAGCAGCAACGGCGGTACCAGTGCTGACAGTAGCAGTAGCAGTCTACGTCTTTAAACTAACCCGGACATGAGAGTTGAAAATTCTACACCTTGAACCCTAGGCCCCAAATCCTAAACCCCAAACCCCTAAGGGGCCTAAATCCTAAACCCCAATCCCAAAGCCCTGCCTTTCGGAAGGAGTCGTCGCAGACTGAGAGAAAAGCCCTGACCTCAGAAGGTCGATATGTCTTACAACTACTTGCTAGGGTTTGGGGTTTAGGGTTGCGGATCCAGGTTCAGGGTTTCATCGACTGCATCGTTTGTGTCTGCGGGCATCTTCGCGCTTAGCCCCCGACCCCGATCCAGCAGCCACTGCCTCTGAATCTGGAGCTGCTGGACTAAGAGGGGAAGCAGTCCTCGCTAGCAAGTCAGGCCATCGAAGAGATCTTTTTACGACGGCAGGTCGGCCCTCCTGACTCCGGCATCTTGGTTGCATCGCCTGTCTTCCACAGCTTTCGCAGCACTTCTCCCTCTGCCTGCGTTCGCAATCTTTTGGATGGCCAAAATTCACGTGGTGCTAGCAGTGATCTTGAAGTTGAGATCCGGGCTGGATCGCCAGTCTCCGACACTTCCTTGGAATCTGAAGCACAGCAAGCGAAAACTTCAAGGCATAGACTTGAGAGGGACGTGGGAAGCCTCGTGCTCAACATCAGCCCACCTCTCAAATGGTCACGAGCGCCTTCTCTTGCTCTCGGGGCTGCACAATGCTACACACCGTCTCTGTATGGAGAAGGTATGATCGGATGTCTGGCACGATACTGTTGCTTGCTTTCTGTGTGTGTGTATATATATATATATACATGTGTATATATATATATATATATGTACGTAAACATGCTACCAGATCACTGTCGCTGTGAGAGAACTTCCTGGCGGGACTGGCTTCCGAGACTTACTAGGTTTCTCAGAAGCCGACGGGACCCTAAGATACACTCTAAATTGCAGGACCCTTATCTACAGAGCCACAACAAGGATTAAAAAAAGGCCCTATCAGGCTTTAGCCGAGGCACCCCAGCTCGCGCATTCAGCTCAAAGAGAAGCAGCCTCGCTTCGTAGAGTTCCTCTCTGCAAGGCACAGACATTTCTCGGGCACTGGTTTCAGGCCGTCGGAGCCGCTATGATTTGTCTGACAAGGCAGGCCATCAGCGCAAGTCCAGAGACCCAAAATGGAGATACTTCGGCAGCCCGCCTGTCGCAGGTCCGTCAGCTCTTGACGTATCCTCACTTCCTGGCGAGCGCCGCTGCTCACAGCTCCGCACAAAAAGCGGCGAGGGCGTCCCCGTCCTTGAGGTACTTCCGCCTTTCCTTCAGACGCCGTCTGAGCTCCTGGATCTCTTTCTCCAGCGTGCTGCGCCTCGTGTCATGCGCCACATGTGCTAAGTCTACAAAGTGAGTCTTTCATGCAGTCTGGAGTCCCAATAGGATGGCTGGCCTCATGATGCCTTGGCGCTCGTGAACCTCGCACTGCCGTCGGATGCGCTGTATGTGTGCCTGCCCCAAGACCTTGCGGTGCAGGGACACATCCTACCCATTCCTGACTCAAAGCGTCCTGCCGCCAAGGTACATCGAGCTGATCCGAGATTTTGGACTTCAACGATGCAAGTAGATTTCTCCAGAACTGGTTGTACCTCTCCTTGTCCTTGACCTCCATGAACACCGGACGACTCCCACATGACTTGAACTATTACACTCTCCCCAGGGCGTGGCTAAACTTAAATTCTGGGCCCGGCCAGAGCTGACTGAGCGGTCTCCACTGCTCGCTTCAGCTTTCCGTACTCGGTCTTCAGGGTCTCCAGCTCTCGAGCGTACCTGTCCTGGACACATGGCTTCCAGAAACTTCCCGGCTCTCCCCTTCCCAAAGGCGAGAAGGGGATGATATGTTGCGCTGGAACTGGAGACGCTCTGGCATTTGGGGTAGCTTTCTTCGTCCGAGGATCGGTGGCTTCTTTCTTGCGCACCTCGAACTCCTCAAGAGCCGTTTGCCTCAAATTTCAGAGCTACTCCCTACTCCGCACAGAAACGGGCCTTTCGCATAAAAGCCCAGCAACAGTAGCTTCTGCTTCCGGGCCAGATCATAGAGCTCGGCCTCTGTGGCTTCGTGCTCTTTCACCAGCTTGTTGTGCCGACGCAGTCCTAAATCGGGTGCGCGGGTGTGCACGGAGCGCTGGGGAGTTCAGGGTGTCAATCCGCTCCTTCGGCGATCTCGTTGACCAGCGACGTCAAGGCCTCCGGCAACCAGAGGTCCCCAACTGATTTCTCGACCGGGTCCCACCTGCTTAACCCTGGCGATGGAATCGGCCATGCTTGCTGTGGATCGCGACACCAGCCGGACGTGGACGTCCATCAGCTCATCGGTCTTCCGCCGCTGCGCATCCAACCACTCATTCTCCTGCCACAAAGGCCGGGATGCGAGCTCCCGAGAACGGACCGCCTACGAGCTCCCGCCACCTGCCCCCGCCTGCTCGTTCATGCGTAGCATGCGCTCGAACTCGTTCATGTCATATTGCCGCTTAGGCTCGCTTAAGACAACCTGCCAGCTAAAAAAGGTCGCAAGGACCCGCACACGAAGCATCTCTGCGCGCAGGCTGCGCGCCAGTGTCAGGTCCCAGCTGCTGGCTCCAGGGCACTTTGCATGTCCTCGAAATTCTTCGTCACCCAGGTCTCAGCTTCATCAAGCAAGCCCTCCGTGAACCTCGGCCGCCGCAGCAAGGGCTACCAGTCGACGGCCTTCAACTGCAAGGTGCAAGAACAAGGTGTCTTCGTCAAGCAGCCTGTTGTAGGATATCTCGTCCCTTTCCATCCAAGTGGATCTATCATAGCTTTCCAGGGATCTCTGCATTTTGGTACATGAGCCTCAGCAAACTCAGCAACAAAACATGATGTTGGTATGGCCCGACTCAGCTTGCCTCGACTGTTGGTATACATGAGGTACTCCTAGGTTCAAGAGACCCCAGGGCCGGCCCCACAAACAAGACAGCACTCTTGTCGCGTGCCCTCGCCGTCCTTGACCTTGTTCGTGAGGGCGATGCGGTGCTGGTTCCGCCTGGCGACTCCGGTCTTTTCTCTCACCTTGGCGAAGGCCACCTGTGCACATGATCACAATTGAGCACATGACACGCTCGAAGCTGTCACTCTGCGACTCCGATGCCTGAAACAGGGCCTCTTTATGCCTCTGCTACTCACCTACCCTCGCATGGCGACTCGCCCGCCTGCCAGCGCATGCGCGCAGAGATGTCGTGGGAGCTGGTTAGAGTCATCTTCCCCCGTGGCCTGGGAAATCACATGCCAGCCGCAGACAACACGACACTACCACTTTCGACAGACCCCAGTCAATATCATGGTTTCTGAAGTTGACCTACATGCGGCAGCGGTCGCGTGACGCTCGTTTGGAAGAGTAAAGCGATACCTGTATAATGCCATGCTTCGCAAGGGCTGGGATTGAATTTGGAAGGGTCTGATTTGCGGCTTGTCAAAGCTGGTTAAACTCATTCTTATGGCTGCGTCATCTCCATTCAGGGTTTATGATGAGCTTCTCAACTCTTTCTGTCGTGCATAATTCCTGCACGAAAACGGACTCGTAATGACTCGTATACAGGCATCTATCTCCAACAATCAGGGACCTTTACAATGGGGTTGGGTGGTCATCACAGTGCCGTGGGCCGTAATAGCTAATTTGCTCCTCATGGGTATTTTGAACGCCTAGGCACAGCTGGACATCCCTGCTGTGACCGAGGCACGCTTCGTTTTCGTCGGGTTCGCGTCGCCAATCCAACAACCGCTCTATGGTCTCTTCATCCTCTTCGTCGTCTTCCTCCGCCCCGTCCTCGCATTTGTCGGAACAAGCACTTCTTCAAGCTACTGGGCCCCTCTCCTGTGCCGATAGCAATGCGAGACGGCCGTTTCTCGTCGGGGCAGCCTCCTGGCAAAGAGATGCGACACCCGCTCGTTCTCACCATCCCTCAGCCTCACATCCTGTCAATGGTCTGTGTAGCTGCCGACGAAAGAGCCGTAGCTGACCGAACTAGGATTGAAAAGGGGACTGATACTGGCACCAGAAACAACAGTGGCTGCCAGTTCTACGGCTTCCTCCTCTGCTGGGATCTCCGCAGGTCGCCACTGCGAAAAGACCTGCAGGCAGAGAACTTAACGGAATCAGAACAGCTTGGAGCGCAAGGCGAGCAGCAAACAGCATGAAGCTACCGCTGCCCGAGGAAGGAACGCTCTGTTCTATCTGAGCACGTGCACGCTTGTTCTTGGACCTCGGAGTAACATCTCAAGAAGTGGTGCCGTTGAAAAACAAGCAGGTTGTGCAAGAGCTTGACCAAATCGTCTTGCGGCGAAGGTGCGCTCGGCTCGGAGACTTTTCGAGCCTCGCCCGAGAAAACCTCCCAGCAGCCCGAGGCTGAGAGGGCTGGCAAGCCCCGATGTGGCACCCAGTGAGGGCAAATACGCCTTTCAGGGCCCAGGTGCTGCATTTCTAAGAGACGGCTTCCATCTTATTTGGTCCGCCACCACCAAGGCAAGGCCACCGCCCCAGCTCGCTACAGTCACAATACTTGGCACCCGGGCCAATTCAAGCTCCAACCCCCACTCTCAGGCCGGGAATCTAATGCTTTAACAGCTCAGAGCTGGCAAGCGAAGGCGCCTGGCTCTCCAAGCTGCCATTTCGCCATCTGTCCTGGATTGACTAACGTCTGCAAAAAGCTCCTCGTTTTAAATCTCAACGAGACATGGAAGCTTCGCATGCCCTCACCGCTTGCATTGACTGTTAGAATCATCTCGGCAGCGAGGTGCCAGGCAGGTTTGCATGTTTGCTGCCCTGTCCGACTCCTTGGGACAAGCGAGACGTCTGCTGTCGGTTCGTAGCATCGTACCCTCGCTGTCGGCACACAGGCTCTGCAACATACGCTAGGCCGCTAGGCTAGCTACTTTGCATGATGGCTGGCCATTCGTGTGCAGACTTGGCTGCGGGATTTGCTCTGTTCCGTGCTTTGTGACCCTATCCAGAGTGCTGGAAAACGTGTTTCCGAGCGGCATGCTTTTGTCAATTCAACCCAGCCTATATTTCCTACATGCTCCTACTTCTTGAACCAATCCGAGCGCCACACGAAAAAGGCTTGTTGAAAAAGCAGAGCCTGTTTTGAGGTCAGGGCCCTGATAAACACAACTGATGCTTCATCGTGACATACGTTACCCTGACTGTCATAACCCTTTCTTTGGCCCTAAAAAAAGAAGCCTCCACGTATGCCTCATACATGTTTTGCATTTATATCCGCGTGTTTTAGGCGACTCCGTCGCCTGCACTCGCTACGCCTTCTCTGCTGACTTCGTCAGCACTGAGACCGTGTGCCTCTACACACCAATTGGGCCCGTACCTTGGAGAGAGCATCCTGACAACCGCTGCGCTAGGATCCGGAGGGTAAGGGTTCAGGGTACACACTAGCAGTATTCATCACGCGGGCCCTGCACAAGAGGGTTCGGGAGGTTCGGGCTTTGCCCTCGCCACAACATGAATAAGAAGCGTGTGAAGGTCCGACGAAAGCCTGATTAAGACTGTTTCAGCCGAGTCTACCTTTCCACTATTGCCAATGCCACCACCTTCTGTTGATACTGCTACGTCCTCCCCCACCACCGTGACTACGACGACGATTGCCACTACCACCACGATCAGCACTACGGCTCCACTACCACTACGACGACGACTACCATTAGAAAAGGCATCATCAACATAACCTACTACTACTACTACTCCTCCTCCTCCTCCTCCTCCTCCTCCTCCTCCTGCTGCTGCTGCTGCTGCTGCTGCTGCTGCTGCTGCTGCGGCTGCAACAACAACGCGCGGAAACCCTGTAAACGCGCGCAGGAAGGAGTGTCAGCAACGCGCGTTTCACGTGGCCTGCGTGGGACGAAGGACATGTCCTTGTGGTGCAACATGTTTTTTTTTTTACCGAGGTTTTCGGCGTGGTGATATTCGTTTGCAGAGGGACATGTCCATATGCTTCTTACGTGGTCTGCATGGGACCAAACCCACTTTTTGTGCGTAGAGATTGCGAATTTACCTTGCGTCGCTTGTGCTTCTGTTTTCCGCGGGAACACTGGCCGCAAGACAAAATTTGCGTTTTTGTGTGGAAAAAACGCAAATTTTAGAAGCATGCGTTTGTGCTTGGCGTGGTGTGTTTCGCGTGGCCTGCGTGGACAGACGGCACTTCCGACAACAGAAGCAGGAACAGCTGTTCTCAAACGCGCTAGACCATGGACGTCAGTAGGTTTTGGGCATGGATGCTCTGTTCTCAGACGCACTAGACCATGGACGTCATTAGGTTTTGGGCATGGATGCTCTGTTCTCAAACGCACTAGACCATGGACGTCATTAGGCTTTGGGCATGGATGCTCCGTTCTCAAAAGCACTACACCCCCCCCCACGTCATTAGGTTTTGGGCATGGATGCTCTGTTCTCAAACACACTAGACCATGGACGTCATTAGGTTTTGGGCATGGATGCTCTGTTCTCAAACGCACTACACCACGGACGTCATTAGGTTTTGGGTATGGATGCTCTGTTCTCAAACGCACTAGACCATGGACGTCATTAGGTTTTTGGGACGGATGCTCTGTTTTCAAACGCACTAGACCACGGACGTCATTAGGTTTTGGGTATATGGATGCTCTGTTCTCAAACGCACTAGACCATGGACGTCATTAGGTTTTGAGCAGTGGGAGTAGAGGAAACACCGGAAATACCGATGGTTTCGGTAGTGCAAGTAAAGGAAATGCCGTAAATACCGAGGGCTTCGGCACTGGCAGATTTAGTGAATTCGCAGGCGCTGGGAACGCCGACGGCACCGATATTTTCGGCACATGAAGTAAGGCAAACACCGTAAATACCGATGGAAACGGCATTGTCGGTTTTGCGCGTTTACAGGGTGTCGGGGCCAACAACAACGACGACGACGACGACTACTACTACTACTGCTACTACTAGTAATACTACGACGACGACTACGACTACGACCACGACTATGACTGCTACTACGACTACGACTACGACTACGACTACGACTACGACTACGACTACGACTACGACTACGACTACGACTACGACTACGACGACGATTACGACGACGACTACTACTACTACTACTACTACTTCTACTACTACTACACTACTACACTACCAGTATTGTTGCCAAGACCACAACGACTACGACTGCGACTGCGACTACCATTACGACTACGACCCACCTACAACTGCTGGTACTGCGACTGCTACTGCGGTTACTACTACCACAACAACTCCCACCCCTGCCACCATCCTACTATCCGCAAAGATCGTAGTTTTCGATAAAGTGCAACTACACCGTCATCCGATGGCCTTACTATGCTCCTAGAACTACCACTCTCCGGTTTGCTGTACTGCAACGCAGGCCTTCCGACCTTCGGACCTGGAAGGAACGACTAACGTCGGCTTCCAAAAAGTCATGCTTGCAATGCCGGTCTCTGAACTCTTGGACTCAAATGCTTGCAAGTAAGTGTCTCTGCGCGCGTTTACAAAGCTGATGTGCATTCCGCGCATTCATGAATGCGTGTTTACAGTGCGTGGAGACATACATGTAAATATACATGCATGCACGCGCTTCCCTCGATGTATGTCTGGGCCTCTACACATGTATGTGTATGCGTATGCAACCATATGGTTGTACGCTGCACGCGTGCAGAGGGCATAAACGGGAGGGGGAGGGAGACTAAACAAACTCCGAAAAATCAAGCCCCATACCATACCATACCACCATACCGTACCATACCCCACCCTACCCTACCCTACCATACCCTACCTACATAAACCGTCTTACATGCATGCATACATCCGTGCATGCATTCGGGCGGACAGACAGGAAGGCAGACAGACAGACAAATGTGCATGTACCGCAGTCATTTGGAATCTTCTACGAGTACCTCCTTCGCACAACAGCGGTGTGACCCTGCTTCGAATCCAGAGCTCAACGTGCCATCCTCTTCCACGATGTTCGTTGTGGGCCGAGGGTTTGAGGTGCCATGCCCTCAAGTACCGGCTTGAAGCTGCACTGATCCTTCCCACACCATCGAATTTCTTAGAAAAAGTCGAGGTTCTGACCTGCGAGTGTTCCTGTGCAAAACCGTACTTCTGCTACAAGCGGCCGGAGCAAGGGTGCTGGTCTGGCAGAGCCTGGGGTTCAGGACTTGCGGAATGGAGTGCGATATTTGCACACACTGCGGTCCAGAGCAGAGCTCTCCTTCGAGGGTGAGACTTCAAACGGCACAAGGCGACCCTTTCCCCAAGCGAGCCCGGGCCCCAGCGCAATGTAGATTGCCCTAAAGTTACCATAGATGCCGTGAGCTGGCAACTTGAAGCCACCGTCAAAGTCGCAGGCACCGCGTCCGATTGTTTCAGGCTTTGAAACACGTGCTGAAGCCCTGCACTTCCGTGCCTTAAACTGCAATTCTGCTCACTAGTCGGGTGATGTCGCAGTCTTCGTGTTGTAAACCGCCACCATCCTAGCCTCATGCAACACGGGAGGTTTCCCTGATGCATGGACAACTTCGACCAACTCACCACCCACTGCGAAGCCACAAAATGGCTTGATCCTGCCTGTCATCCTGTCATCTCAAGCTTTGGATAGACTCTGCCTTCACGCCCTCAGATGCAGCACCCTTCCAAGGCCAGTCGTCACACTGCACTCGAAGCAACGAATGCAGCGGCGCAAACAGCGAGAAACGTCGCTTTCTTTTAATGTTGAACATGTGTGACGACGTCTACTAAAGTCTACCATTCTTCAGCTGCGAAAACATGCTGCAAGCGCATCCGCAAAAACCGGAAAGAAAGCTTGACCGAGGCGCGTTGGACACAGGAGAGGGAGCCATGCCGGGGACAACCTTGCTGAAGTCACCCAGGTGGCCACCAGCCAGGTTGTTGCCGCCCCCTCTCTGTCCTGTCAAGGGCCGGCCGTGGGGCGCGAAAAGAGCTCTCATCAAAGCGGACCTTCGCCTATGCGAAGTGGCGACATTGGAGGAAGGCCTCCGAGGATGTCAAACCAACACTGAAGCGAAGCAGGCTGTGCGATGCACGACACATGCTGGAACAGAGTCGTATCCGCCTGCGGCTTCGGGACCTTCTAAGTCTGATTCACCCGCCAACTCGGCCTGCGACATGGTTACAGCACGATTGGCAAAAGCAAGGACAGCGGGCAGTGCCTTCATCTGCTTGACATCCTCATCTTCTTCCTCCGCCATCTCGTTCGGCATCGGATACATTTGAGAGGCCCTTGGTACACGTCTCAGCACAGACGTCTCTGCTCTTGCTGCTATCATAGCTGGCTACTGTGAATGACACGATTAAGTCTTGTTGTTATTGTCATTGGTTTCAGTTGTGATTGTTGCGATCGGCATTTTGTTACGATCGGCATTACAAGCACTGGTATCACTCCTAGCAATAGAGGACAACTTCCTTGCTGCTGATATACTGCTGCCAGAACACTCAGGAAACAGTTCTGCTTAATCTTTCCCTCTAAGCCCTTTGTTGGCAGTCAATGCTCCCATATTCGAGACCGCTCCTGCTGTCATGCGGGTACTGCAACATGACAACGCTCTGTGAGCATGAAAGATGTGCCGTCGTCGTCGATGGACATTATTGTCGTCACTGCCAAGAGATTCGGGCTTCTGACTAACTGATCAGCTCAGGTATGATACTGCATCAACATGAATATAGTTCTTGAGCGTCTGCAGCTGCTGCTGCTGCTACCATCGAAGACCTCCGGCTACAAACGGCCTCTTTTCGCATGTAGAAAGACCAGCACCCCACTACCACCACAGAGCAGCTACTACTGCTGCTACTGCTGCTACTGCTGCTGCTGCTGCTGCTGCTGCTGCTACTACTACTACTACTACTACTAGTACTAGTACTAATTACTACTACTACTACTACTACTACTACTACTACTACTAGGTACTAGTACTACTACGAGTACTACTAGTAGTAATACTACTAGTAGTACTACTGTACTAGTACCAGTACTACTACTACTACTACTACTACTACTACTACTACTACTACTACTACTACTAACTACTACAACAACAACTACTACTACTACTACCACTACTACTACTACAACTACTACTACTACTACTACTACTACCACTACTACTAACATTACTACAACTACTAACATTACTACTACTACTACTACTACTACTACTACTACTGCTACTACTACTAGACTACTACTACTACTACTACTACTACTACTACTACTACTACTACAACTACCACTACTACCACTTAGTATTTACTACTTACCACTTACTACGTACTACTTACTACTTACTACTTACTA